TTTGTAATGAAAGGGCCCCTTGGGCCTTAAATATACAATTTATTTATTTAAGGTGTCGAGCTTAGCCAAAATGTCTTTGTTGGTTACCTCGGACAGCATAACAGACGATGGCTTTCTACGTGGGATGACCTTAGACCACACGCGCGTACGCACACGAGCCTACACAATGGTCAAGTGGTCGCGTGACGTTATCCCAATGCGGCCAACCAGGCCACAAGAGAACGCGCAGACAATCTCTTATAAGCCACTGTCACCCCCTCCCCCCGAAAAAGAGGGTTGCAACAGCGGACGCGTGGTGACGTCAGTCCGCTCCCAATGCCGGGCTGAACACGTCGTTATAACAAATTCAATCACGTGTCAGGTAGATTATAGCGAGGAGGGATCATGGACGGTCGAATTAATTCCCACCCAGGTGTCCTCGTGCCCCAGATTGTCAGTCAAACTCGCGATGACAAAAAAGAAAGCCGCCGACCAAGCCTTCCGCTTGTTTTACGCATATCGCAACTGCGCCGTTCCCCTGAATTCAGAGAACTAGACTGCACGCGCCAATCATTTAACCGAAGAAGAAAAAGATGCACGGGCAGAGGAGGTAGAAATCACAATTGCCATTGAGTACCTAGATGAGTAAAAAATGCGTCGAAAATCAAACGAAGCAAAAGGTGAAAGAGCGTTACACAAGACACCTCAAGACCACATCTCGTCCGGGGAAGCGAGTTTTGGCAAGTCCAATTTCTCGCGAATCAAATTTTCCAGGTGAAAGAGGAAATCTGGAACACAACTGTAATCTGAAAATAAATAAAATATGTGAGATTGGTACTTAAGTAGTGTGAGTAGAAGTTAACTTTAAATTTTAAAAAATAAAACAAAACATGCCGATAATTACCGTCAACCGTTTGGCCACTCATGGATGCATGCCATGAACACTGGCTGACAGAGGCTAAAAGATGTACTCTGCCATGATCAACCTAGACAGGGTTCTGACAATGCAAAACTGTATGAGTAAGCCGAGTGGTCGGAGAGAGTTGAATGAAAACCGGCGGTCCGCAGGTGCCAACTCCGGCCTACCACCGGGGCAGGGGGGAATAGTCAACCGAAATGAGTAATAAGGGCGCGTGAAAGACGTACTTTTGCGTTGGCTACTACCTCCGAGGATACAGACTTCGTGTCTTCCAAAAGCCCAGGCAAATTTTTAATTTGGACAGTCCGTAGCCGACAAAACGTGGCGTATCTATTTGCGGCCGGCGAACAGAGCCCTGCTCTCTTGCCTCTGCACGTGCGTCGCTAATAATTGATTAGCTGGCATTCCCTTTGATTTTCGCCTTTTTTTGCTGCTATTATCTCCGAGGGTGAACTCCTGAGCGAGTTCGCAAGCTCAAAAAAATAAACAAACCGTAGAAGTTCAGTGTATGACCTCCTCCTCCCGGTCATGTTCCAACCTCCACGCAGTGCCGGGTCCACTGGACGTCGACTTCCAAGACCTCCCATGCCACGCCATGCAGGAGATCACATGATTGCAGTCCCCGGTGTGCCTTTGGGGCCAGCCGCACGTTTGTCTCTCGCGGCCACTAAGCACGTGAGTACTTGTAAGCTTCCCCCGCTCTGGCTAATCACCTTCAAAATTGACTCCGGTTAACACCGCTCTCCGTGGCCGCTAGGATGACTGCCGCCAGGCTCAAAGTCTTCGGACACTGCCCGGCTCTTGTTCAGGCCTACGCTTGTCCGACAGTCAACTTCGTTCCAGCTATTCCCCATTCCTTCTGTAAAGAATAAAGTATTCCTACCACTCTGGCCTCCCACTTCTTCTCTTGCCATACGGAACTAGGCCTGAAGATCGCAGCG